GCCAATTCAACTTGTGGCTTCCACAAAAACTGTTATAAGCCGCCGATAGAGAAATACTCAAAGTCGCGGAATGTCTCATTTTGTAGAGAAATGTTTGGATTACAATCGTCTATACATAGAAAAATTTATAAGGTAGTGGCTTTGTTTAAACTGTTAACTGTGGCTGAACACACTGGACGAGATAAAAGGTACCACTGTTATAAAGTTATCTTGGCAGATATTGCTTGTGACATACATCTATATGTTAATGTACAAGATGCATAAAGTATTTTTCTCAATAGATCAAAGCTGGCCGGCTCATTCCAATTCCAATTCCAATAAGTTGTTCATGTAGATCAAATTTGAAAACATATGTATGTAAGCATGCTATTGGTTTAATGATGCATTTTGGTTTTTATACTGTAAAAGACCCAGCAAAATTACAAAATTTCCAGAAACAACGCGGAAGACCAAGAAAAGTAGAAAATGCATTGTCTGGTGTTTAGCTGTTCTACTTACATATTCGCTCTGTTCTTTCTATTTCTGCCACTACCTCAGTAAATAAGTGGTGTTAATAAGCTGAGATCTTTCTCATTATTATTCCTAGTCTAATTAAAACCGGACACTAAAGTGTAAAAAGATTTTTTTACGAGCACAAATCTGACTTAATTTCCGAGCACAAAAGAACTTAAAGCCGGTTTCAAACAATCAGTCAAACAATAAAAAACGTCACTGGCGGTGAAGTCTCAGTCCGGTCTCAGTCATAAAAAAAAGGTCATAGTGATGACTCAGTCCCAGTCGTGACTGAGACTTGTCCATCTTTGCCTCTACGAACAATCGTGCTTGTTGTCAACTGCATTGTCAAATGGGATTACTGCGCAATTCCTATTTGAACACAATAACATTTTATACCATTTGATGCATATTTCTCTCTTCTAACACTGCTTGTGCAACAATATTATCTATAGAACAAGTGCATTTTAAAGATAATAACTAGAATAGAATTGAAACAAACAAAAGAACGAACGAATAGGTAAGAATAGTATGGCTTTTTAACAAAAAAAGAGGTAGGTAATAACATTTTATTGTTCGCGTGAAAGCATGGTATTTAATTTACCGTTTTTCGGTTATACGTATGGAAATAGAATTGAAACTGTCATTGAAAAAGTACAAGTAATATTATACAACAGAGATTTACGGTGCACAACGTTTTTACTACGACACATCCTATATCCGATGATGTGAAATTTGTTTCGTTCAATTTAGAAAGCGAAATGTTCTTTGTGCGCCGAATCATACGTTGGAAAAATATTTCATAATTTACAAACACAGATGATTGAACACATTAAAGTAAAAAATTGAAAAAGATTAAATCAAAATTGACAGACAGCAAAGTGTCGGAAAATACAACAACAATAATGAGTTGAAAATCAACAATATCTTCAAAAGAAGTTATAATAAGATCCAAGGCACGTGCACTTGCAGAAAAGATAAATCAAATTGATACGAACAGTATTGTAGATAGTATTGATGAATTTTATATTGTTGGTACTGCGGATCAAAATTTGAGAAACATTCTAAAACCATAAGGCATTAATTTACATCTAATGACCTTCGAATATTTCTATGTGACAAATACAGATCTGAACTATTGTTAAAAGACTTGTTGATGATAAGAGCCATTGGCGCTACGAAAAAGCAGTATTCAAAAAACGGTGGTAGGCGTCGGATAGTGACATCAACATAGAACAAATAATCTCCAACATATCCATTGTTCAAATTTCAAATGGATATCGAGTAGACCAGTGAGCATCCTATTAGAATTTCTTCTTTTCTTCTTGTTTATCAAATTTTAATTGTCTTCATATGTAAAGTTTTTAAGTTTTAAAGAAAGTTTTTAAAGATCGTTATTCTCTATGTACTGATAATGAGCAGACATTTTTAGCCACAGTACTGAATTATGACATACATTTTATAATCTAGCTGCATAGGGACCACATAATCCAATGTATGTAAAATATTTATCGATACAGGAACTATTCAGACTGCATTACTATAAGCTGTCCCTTATTGTCAGGTTTTAAAGGACACTACTGATTTACTTTCTTATTTTGACACGTCTGAAAAAACTTTTGTCTCAAAGTATGCTTTACTTTTAATCTAAAAACACATGAACCTAAAAATATCTTATAAATGATATGGGATGTAGTGATGAATCTTACTGTTTTTAGGAAAAGTATTTTTGCGGAAAGGCAAGTTGACTAGATAGGATAAAAAGATAATAATATTTTTGAGCTGAAGGGAGAAGAATCTCTATGAGCTCTCGTTCTTTTGTAACACATGCCATTATTCATTCTTTGGACTTTGACATGAGTGCTTTCATATGTTTTATCTGTTGTAAGAGATGAGTGACAAAGAACGTGCATTGATTGCTAAAACACATGAAGAATTCGGTACTTGTTTAACAGCTGAACGATTAAAATTCGATTTTCAGCAATTAGGCATATCGCCTGGTATGGCATTGTTAGTTCATTGTTCATTGTCAAAAATCGGCTGGATTTCTGGTGGACCCGTGACTGTTATACAAGTATTATTAGATCTGTTAGGTCCTGATGGTACTCTGATTATGCCTTCTCATACTGCTAACAATTCGGATCCTAAGTATTGGGAGAATCCATCGGTACCTTCCGAATGGTTTGATATTATTCGTCAATCGACTCCAGGTTATCAGTCTAATATAACACCAACATTTAATATGGGAACATTAGCTGAAACATTTCGCCATTGGCCAGGTGTTTTACGAAGTCAACATCCACAATTTTCAATGATTGCTATTGGTAAAAAAGCAAAATTTATTATTGATAAACATTATGATTCATGTGGCGAGCAATCTCCATTAGCTCGCCTTTACGATTGTAGTGATAGTGGCTATGTTTTATTATTAGGTGTACAACATAAAAATAATACATCATTACATTTAGCTGAATATCGTTTTCAGTCAAATGATAATATCGAAAAAGTTTTTATTAGTGGCGCATCAATATTAAATTCAGAAACAAATGCACGTGAATGGTCTGAATGAAAAGGTTATGATTATAATGCAGACGATTTTAACGATGTGGGAAATGCATTTGATTCAATTGATGGAAATACAAAGATAGGGAAAATTGGACTGGCTGAATGTCGATTAATGAAACAATATTTATTAGTCAATTTTGCTGTTGATTGGATGGCTAAAAACAGACCGAAACAAGAAAACGTCTAGATTATTTCAATATTTTTCTTCTATAATTTTCACGCTGCTCATTTGATATATTGCATAAAGGGATGATGGTGCTAATTTTAGATGTTATGTGGGAGAATAAAGAGGAAGAATACTCCGCCTTTTGGCTACCTTGCCGTATAGGTACTGTCTGGAGACAGTTTTGTAAGCCCGATACCTTCTCTACAACTAATACTAGCTGTAGCTCTGGACAGAAGGCCAGCCAGACTCAGAGTTCTTTCTCTCAATTGCTTGAGCTCATCGTACACACTGACTAACCACATACTAGCCACGAGGACTGGTGTATATCACAACATAGCCAGCACGCTATCGGACGGGTGATCCGATGCAAACAACCGTTAATGGCTTGCCCAGGATCATTTTAGACTCGTTGTTCTCAATTCAGCCCATGGTGTAAAAAAAGTACAGGTAACGCACTTAAATGAACGCCGGTTTGGAACCGAGTGCCTGTGTACAAGCCGAGTAGGTGTGTAAGTATACACCTAGTCCACCAATCTAGCTACTGCCCTTGGTTCAAAACATCTTTTACTCTGTTCTAATCATGAGGACTTTTTGAAGACATTTTTAAATTATTTACGAATTAATGTCAAGAAGAGTGTATAGAGCTTTGTCGTTGTATTTCCAAAAATCGTTGTAAATATGTTTCTGTCTTGACTCCAATAATCTCTCGTTCTTTGCAACTATGGGATCCCATGATAAATAAAATACCAAGAAATTGTCAACAGACGTCTGAGCGAACCTGACATTTGAGCGTCATAAATGTTCAAAAGGAGTGTGTATGCGGAGGGGGGGCAGTCAGGTTGACTATTCGTTCTACTTTGACCGCCTTACACTTCAACATTTATGCATCTTTCTTCCTTTCTGTAAGGTGCACGCAAAGCAAAATTTTAGCAAAATGTTTTCGATAAAAGACACATATTTGGATTTGCCAGAGCATGCTGATCACGAATATGACCTTGAAAGTTGAAAAAAACCTTTTTTTCGGGGAGAAAAATGCAAAATACTGAAAAGGTCCAAAAACTTCGAAAATTCTTGGCCTTTCGAAAAA